GGCCGGTCGGGCAGGCGCGCGCGCGAGGGAGCACTCAGTGCTCCCTCTTCAGCTCCCTCGCGCACCGCACTGATACCGGAGCCGGAAGATGATGTCATCTTCCGGTGCCGGCATCCCTACGCGGCGCGTGAGGGAGCTGAAGAGGGAGCACTGAGTGCTCCCGCGCACGCCTGCCTGCCCGACCGGCCACCCGCCCAGGAGCCCAGCAGCACCACTGGACTCCAGGGAATCCCCCCAGCACTCCAAAAGGTAAGGAGGCTGGGGGGATTACATTTTAAAAAAAAAACGTGTTACTGTTAGTGTTTGAGTGTGTGTGAGTGTGTGAGTTAGAGTGAGTGTTAGAGTGAGTGTTAGAGTGAGTGTTAGTGTGAGTGTCTGCTAGTGAGTGTCAGTGAGTGTGTTACTGTGTGTCTTACTGAGTGTGTGTGTGTTAGTGAGTCTGTTTGATGTCAGTGAGTTTGTGTTTGTCAATGAGAGTGTATGTTTTGTAAGTGAGTGTGTATGTATGTCTGTCGCTGAGTGTGTCTCTGTCAGTAAATGTGTGTGTCTGTTAGCTAGTGTGTATGCGTCTGTAAGTATGTGTGTGTGTGTCTTCAGCACTTACCTTTCTTCAGTGCCGGACTCCCTTGGCGCTGAGGATCCCTCAGCCTCTCAGCTCCGAATGCGACCACGCACGCATTCAAACCGCCCATAGGAAAGCATTACTCAATGCTTTCCTATGGACGTTCAGTGTGCTCCTCTAGCGGTTGTCAGTGAGACAGCCACTAGAGGCTGGATTAACCCTCAGTGAAACATAGCAGTTTCTCTGAAACTGCTATGTTTTCAGCTGCAGGGTTAAAACTAGAGGGACCTGACACCCAGACAACTTCATTGAGCTGATGTGATCTGGGTGTCTGTAGTGGTCCTTTAAAGGACCACTATAGTGCCAGGAAAACATACTCGTTTTCCTGGCACTATAGTGCCCTGAGGGTGCCCCCACCCTCAGGGGCCCCCTCCCGCCCAGCTCTGGAAAGGGGAAAAGGGGTTAAAACCTTTTTCCAGCGCTGGGCGGAGAGCTCTCCTCCTCCGATCCTCCTCTTCTCCTCCCCGTCGGCTGAATGCGCACGCGCGGCAAGAGCTGCGCGCGCATTCAGCCGGTCACATAAGAAAGCATTCATAATGCTTTCCTATGGACGCTGGCGTGCTCTCACTGTGAAAATCACAGTGAGAAGCACGCAAGCGCCTCTAGTGGCTGTCAATGAGACAGCCACTAGAGGATTAGGGGGAAGGCTTAACCCATTCATAAACATAGCAGTTTCTCTGAAACTGCTATGTTTATGAAAAATGGGTTAACCCTAGCTGGACCTGGCACCCAGACCACTTCATTAAGCTGAAGTGGTCTGGGTGCCTAGAGTGGTCCTTTAAGTGTGTGTGCATCTGCATCCACTGGCGTACATACCGCGGTCGCAGGGGTCTCAGCCCTGTTACCCCTGCGACCAGGTGCCCACCGCCATGTGTTGCGGCCCGGCCCGCTGCTCAGCCCACGGATCAATTTTCGCGACCGGGCCCCATGGGTCATGTATGCGCCTACCGTAGTCAACATTCATTTTTATAAAGAGCAGGTCATGGCAAGTTGCTTTGTCAATAACTTAATGCAATATAGATCAGGGTGTTGTTGTGTCTGTGATCTGTTAATATTTTGCTTAAGTACTTGATTCAGTTTCAAATACAATGTTACTCTACTACAAGCATGTAAAACCCAAAGTCTAGCACGGACCACATAAACAAGGTTTACGTTTATGTGGGCGGGAAAAAAACAACAAACCTTAAATTTTCATAGAAACTTAGGTTTATTTTAAAAATTACAGTATTAAAAACCCCCCCAGCATTCCCCTTTACTAAACCACAGCACCCCCTATACTAAATCCCAGTACCCCCCATATACTAAATCCCAATCCTCCCCCTCATACTAAATCCCAGTCCCACACCCATATACTAAATCCCAGTACTCCTGCCATATACTAAATCCCAGTCCTCCCCCTCTACTAAATCCCAGCACCCCCCTCTAGCCAACAAGCAGACTCCACTCACATTACCGCTGCCAGTATGCGACTCCGGAGTCTGGCCTCTGGTATACCCCAAATGGCGCCGTCCGCACCCTGTGCGAAATGTGATCCTCCCGCTACTTTGTGAAACCCTGTAAAGGTGGAGCACATTGATGTCACGTCGGAATGTGACGTGGCATTGCGTGCCTCCATGCACCTCCAGGTACTCCACTGTCCAGTCGCAGCCAATGCAACACTGACCCCAACACACTTACACATTCTTGCACACACATACTTTACTTTATTGCTTCCTACCTTTTGGAGCTAATGTGGGGCATCTTCCTGGGGTCCTTTTATCTGTTCCTCACTGCTCCCTTGCGCGGTTTAGTGATGCTGGAATATGACGTCATATTCTAGTGCCTGGCTTCACTACAGACGGCGCGCGAGAAGGAGCAGTGAGGAATAGGAACACTGAGCTCCCTCACTGGCTGCAGAGAAGTCATCTGCAATGTGGGGAAAGCAGGTGCCTACTCTGCTATAACTCCGAGCATGTACTCACGGCTCGCCGGGCCGCAAAGTTTGACATGCTTGCTCTACTAATTGAATAAAGTGGGGTTAGAGGAAATATGTGGTGATTAGTTTAAAGGCAGAGTCCATGTTTTTTGTAAATAGGTGAATTCTCAATATTTCAGCTCTCTACTGGTGCCATCTTCTCTTTAACCTGTTTATTAGTGAGGTTATTGTAATCCAATCTGTAATCCCAGTATATGGAACAAAACTGGGTTAGGCAATACACATTGAAGAGGATGTAATCTCATTGTAGAAGGACCCAGGGTCTGAGCAGCCAAGCGGAAAAAATGAGATTCAATGTAGACAAACAAAAGGTTATGTGCTTTGGTAACCTATACTGTACATGAGGTTATATTATGGGAAAAAGTAAATACATCGGATGCAGGAGAAACTACAGAATTAGCATTAGTATACAATGTTATTCAATAGCTGCAATAATCAGTAAGGTATTATAGTTCAAACAAAGAGCTATTGACACACAACAAAAGTTTATGAAAATTCCAAGATTTTACTATTAACATGATGTAAATTCATGATTTTATTAATGACACAGAGGCTCCTATTATGCTTCTCTTTCCCTCAGCAGTGAAGAGAAAAAATGTATGTAAAAGAAAAAAACAACATAACATTAGCATATTCAACAGTGCTACTAATCAGTATCCACCCCCTTCAGTATATAAGGTGTAGCACTCTCTTCCTCTTCCTCTTTCTGTAGAGATCCGAAGACCAGCCAATAACCGAACGATAAACTTGAACCGGAACTGTAACATCGGATAGCAGTCATACATCCCTTCCTCATGGGAAAACGGTAGAGCCATCCTTTAAATCTTCGTTATCACCCCGATATAAGTATTCAGGCTAAAAGAGGAGAAATATGGTAATATCTCAATTGACATCTGGTTTTAACACACCACAGTATATATATGGTTACCTAGGTCTGGAGAAAACCATAGCCATAACATTATTGTAAAATTAGCGTGATAATCTAAGTTTTATAGTCAATTATCTGATGAGAAACAGGAAAATTCCAACATGTAAGGTATGAGGATAGAGGCAGACCCAATCAAATACTGACAGCATGTGAATCCCACAAACTCCACCCAGGGAGGCAGGGAGGGAATAATACACGCCTCCGTGTCATTAATAAAATCATGACTTTACGTCATGTTAATAGTAAAATCTTGGCATTTGATTAAAGACACGTAATCCTATCTGAGAAATGTTGGATAGGTTTAAAATTCAAATTCCGGAATGTGGATTCCGTAGACCAATCTGCGGCCTTCGAGATGTCTTCCAATCGACATCCTATCGCTGGGCCATAGCGCCCCTGATGGAGTGGGATGAGAAAACCGAGACATCTATCCCGGCCGAAGCCAATAACCATTCGACCCAATGCGCGAGCGTAGGAGTAGATACAGGAAGATGTGGTTTCTTCAGTGAGATGAACAGAGGTCCGTCATTAGACAGGCGTAGAGCAGAAGTGCGAGATTCGTATTCTTTTAGGCACAGCATCGGGCATAGATTGGGTAGATTTGTGATTCTTGGGTAGAAGACCTGTTTAGTTGCTGATTTCGTTCTCCGCGAGATATCGAATGACACTCCATCTGGAGTGAACTTGCAGGCCTGCCAATCCAAAGCTCTTACGTCGGACACTCGCTTACAGGATAGTAGACAAAACAGCATAAGCAATTTTGCCGATAATTGTTTTAATAACAATTCTGTGTTAGGGGGCCAAAGGGTTCTGTCCGAGTGGGAGCCCGGTCATGTTATCATGGCCTGCCGAGATTGCAGAGTGGTACAGGTTGACGGTGCAAAAAGGCTTTGCCTGATTCGAACAGATGTGTCAGGAAGTCCAACACCGATTTCACAGATCCAACGATCGTTCCAAGCACCAATTGGCCCACTGTCTCCAGGCCGCAGTATAGGCATGTCGTGTTCCCGGTGCCCATGCATTTGCCAGGAGTTGTGTAGTTGTTCTCGAAACCTCTGTGATTTCCCAGGGTCCCCAGAAAGGAGCCACGCCATGAGATGGAGGAGCCCCTGTTCTATCAGAGTGTGACTCTCCCCGTCCGGATTGGTTCGGAGAGATGGGTGATCTGGTAACAACCGTGGGCGATCGATCGCCATTTCCAATAGGTGGGGAAACCAAGGTTGGGACCTCCAACATGCGGTTATCAGGACCATCGAGCTCTTGAAGCGTCGGAGGTACGCCAGGCAACGAGCAATCAGGTTGAATGGAGGGAAGGCATATGCCCGGCCTTTGGTCCAATCTTGGAGGAATGCATCGGTCGCCATGGCTTCTGGGTCCTGTCGCCAGCTGAAGAACTGAGGCAGTTGCGTGTTCAGTCTGGACGCAAACAGGTCCACACTCAAAGGTCCCCATAAGTGAGCGAGCTTGTGGAACACGCTCGGTTGAAGTCTCCAATCTCCCGAGTCCCTCAGGTAACGGGAGTTCCAATCCATGGTGTAATTGTCCAGGCCTGGGATGTGTTCCGCGGTAACTGACACATTGTTCTGTAAACAGTAATGCCAAAAGTCTCGAGCCAAGACCGCTAAGATGCGTGACTTGGTACCTCCCAGATGGTTTATATACCGTACTGCTGAGACATTGTCCAATTTGAGTAGAATCGAGCATGAGATGTCCCTGGGTACGAGGCCGCTAGCAGTTCCAGAGAGTTTATGTGTAGAAACGATTCGTCCGTGGACCATCTGCCTCCTGTGGATATGGAGCCACAGCACGTGCCCCAGCCACGTAAGCTGGCGTCCGACTCTATCACCAGGTCCGGGGTGGAACCGAAGATCGCTCTTCCATTCCACGCTTCCATGTGGGTCAACCACCAGTTCAGTTCTTCTCTGGATTCCCGTCCAGAGTAACGTGGGATTCGTATGAGTGGCCACTTCGTAAGCAGGTACAATTGCAAGAAAAAGTATGTGAACCCTTTGGAATGATATGGATTTCTGCACAAATTGGTCATAAAATGTGATCTGATCATCATCTAAGTCACAACAATAGACAATCACAGTCTGCTTAAACTAATAACACACAAAGAATGAAATGTTGCCATGTTTTTATTGAACACACCATGTAAACATTCACAGTGCAGGTGAAAAAGTATGTGAACCCTTGGATTTAATAACTGGTTGAACCTCCTTTGGCAGCAATAACTTCAACCAAACGTTTCCTGTAGTTGCAGATCAGACGTGCACAACAGTCAGGAGTAATTCTTGACCATTCCTCTTTACAGAACTGTTTCAGTTCAGCAATATTCTTGGGATGTCTGGTGTGAATCGCTTTCTTGAGGTCATGCCACAGCATCTCAATCGGGTTGAGGTCAGGACTCTGACTGAGCCACTTCAGAAGGCATATTTTCTTCTGTTTAAGGCATTCTGTTGTTGATTTACTTCTTTGGGTCATTGTCCTGTTGCAACATCCATCTTCTGTTGAGCTTCAGCTGGTAGACAGATGGCCTTAAGTTCTCCTGCAAAATGTCTTGATAAACATGGGAATTCATTTTCCCTTCGATGAAAGCAATCCGTCCAGACCCTGACGCAGCAAAGCAGCCCCAAACCATGATGCCCCCACCACCATACTTCACAGTTGGGATGAGGTTTTGATGTTGGTGTGCTGTGCCTTTTTTTCGACCACACATAGTGTTGTGTGTTTCTTCCAAACAACTCAACTTTGGTTTCATCTGTCCACAGAATATTTTGCCAGTACTGCTGTGGAACATCCAGGTGCTCTTGTGCAAACTGTAAACGTGCAGCAATGTTTTGTTTGGACAGCAGTGGCTTCCTCTGTGGTATCCTCCCATGAAATCCATTCTTGTTTAGTGTTTTACGTATTGTAGATTCGCTAACAGGGATGTTAGCATTTGCCAGTGACTTTTGTAAGTCTTTAGCTAACACTCTAGGATTCTTCTTCACCTCATTGAGCAGTCTGCGCTGTGCTCTTGCAGTCATCTTTACAGGACGGCCACTCCTAGGGAGAGTAGCAGCAGTGCTGAACTTTCTCCATTTATAGACAATTTGTCTTGCCGTGGACTGATGAACAGCAAGGCTTTTGGAGATACTTTTATAACCCTTTCCAGCTTTATGCAAGTCAACAATTCTTAATCGTAGGTCTTCTGAGAGCTCTTTTGTGCGAGGCATCATTCACATCAGGCAGTGCTTCTTGTGAAAAGCAAACCCAGAACTGGTGTGTGTTTTTTATAGGACAGGGCAGCTGTAACCAACACCTCCAATCTCATCTCATTGATTGGACTCCAGTTGGCTGACATCTCACTCCAATTAGCTCTTGGAAATGTCATTAGTCTAGAGGTTCACATACTTTTTCCACCTGCACTGTGAATGTTTACATGGTGTGTTCAATAAAAACATGGCAACATTTCATTCTTTGTGTGTTATTAGTTTAAGCAGACTGTGATTGTCTATTGTTGTGACTTAGATGATGATCAGATCACATTTCATGACCAATTTGTGCAGAAATCCATATAATTCCAAAGGGTTCACATACTTTTTCATGCAACTGTAGCTTTCAGACACTGTAGCGCCCTGTAGTGAAGCGGTCCCGGAAAGATCGCCTGGATGGAGGCCGCCAATAGTCCAATGACCCGTGACAGTTGTCGCAGGGAGATGTCCGGCCGGTGCATAAGTCGACTTACCTCTTTTTTGATGTTGGACATCTTTTCTGCCGGGAGGCATAGAATCTGTCGAACGGAGACGACTCTGAATCCCAGGAATTCCATTTGATGTGAAGGTCTTAGAACCGATTTCTTCCAGTTCACCAGGAAGCCGAGGTTCTGAATGAGATGCAGGGTCCATGTTAAATGAACGAACAGTAGGGACCGCGTCCCGGAGAGCAGGAGGATATCGTCCAGATAAATAATAAGTTGGACCCCGTGTAGTCTGAGAAAGGTAACCACTGGTTTCAGTACTTTTATGAAGCACCAGGGAGTGGAGGACAGACCAAAGGGAAGGCATGTGAAATGCCATTTCTTTGTCCCCCACCGGAATTGAAGCAGAACTCTGTGCTCTGTCGCTATCGGGACTGTCAGATACACGTCCTGCAAATCTAGTTTGACCATCCAGTCTCCGGGAAGGAGTAGGTCTCTGAGGCAATGTATGCCCTCCATCTTGAAGTGTTGATATTGGACGAAGGCATTCAAGGGCCGCAGGTTTA